GACCCGAATCCTGGTGGCAAGGACAAAGAAATTTGGAGTCTCCGGGGACCGTTCAAACAGAAGGGTCGAGACATGGAGTTTGACGACTACAAGTATGTTATGGTTGCTGCCTATCGGTGTCCTCGTGAATACATGGGGGCAGCATCAATCTCAGAGGAGGATAGGGAGCTTTATGTTCCTAGTGATTCAGAAGATGGAGAAGATGACCCTTTGGAGATGGATCCCGTGGACGCCGAGGAGGAGAAACCTATGGATGAAGAGTCCGAGGGAGAACCGTTTGGCCCAGAGACCCTCGACGAGGCGGTTGAAGAGTATCAGAAGGGCAAGGAACCGGCCGTGATTTACATCACGCGTCCTTTGCGGCGCTGGACTGCACCTCATGTACTACAAGCTGCGAAAGAGATCCTTCTTCAACTACGGCAAAGTGGCCTACATGTTGATGTACTACATACAGACCGGGCCAGGGAGTTCAAGGCAAAGGGCTTCAAGGAATGGAGTTCGTTTGACAGACGAGGGTCTCTTGGAAAGATTCAGCAATTTGCTTGGTTTAAGTTATTTATACAGCCAGGCAAGTAAAGCTTTCAGTTAATTGAGTTGCTTGACCGGACATTAATGTGTAGCTAACCTGCCGTGTTTGTGTTACATTGTTTTTAAACATGAATGAATGTGTGTGTGTGTCTTGCGTTGGAGGCGAGTGGTCCCGCCTCGTACCTTTTCACTTCAAACGTGTGGCTTCCAACATGTCAGAAGAGGGCGCCAAAAACTTTGTCATCATCCGCAGGCCCTGCCGCGGCCCGACCAGGAGGCCGCCGCCTGGATGATGCGAAAAAAGTGTGTGTGTGTATGCATTCGTTGCAGCAGGACCTGTTAAATTGGAACGTGTCCTGATTGAGCAGCGTTTGCAGCAAGTCAATAATGCTGGTCCGGTGCTCGGCACACAGTGCCACAAAGACACTAGACTGGCAAAAGTCCAGTCCGACATAAAGCCATGGAAACAAAGCAACGCCAGGTCTTTCGAAAGCTAGTGTCGGCGGGAACAAATCATCTACTGGCCAGGAAGCTCTTGCAAATGTGGCACAGATCGTTCGAAGACCAAGTCGTGCGCCTCAATTCATTTGATATCATTCAGAAACTAGTTGATTGATTAGTTGCGAAAAGCCCTGTAACGGTAGATGACCTAACTAATAGCCGATATAGCCAGCCTGACCGACTACTTGGAATTCCGCCTCTACTGGATTGAAGAGAATCTCGCCGACTGCAACTCCCTCGTTTATGCCAGCTACATGCAAGAACTCAAAATCCTCGGGAAATCGTTTCAGTGGACTGAGCCACCTTAGATTTTTGTTGCCTTTTCACCCAGTTTCGGACCTGAGACGGAAGGCAGACTGCCACACGGTGTAATTTCCCGCTGTATAGCACATCGCTTCGGGCTTTGTTGATTCGTTGCAAGAAATTAATTATATAGTTGCAGACGCGATTCACTGGCCACTGTCGTCAACTTAGAAAAATGTAACGTCCACCAGTGCATCTTGCCATATTGTTGGTCGGCTGCTTTGATGTGACACCAAACAACACCGTGTGACAGGTCTTCTTGATCCTCTACATCATCGAGCTTCTTCTCTTTTTAAAGTTCTTCTCTTTTTAAAGATTGAAAGTTGTTAAAATAAGTTTAAAGGCTTCTTAAAAAAAACTGTTAAAAGCCAAAAAACACATGTCAACAAAAAATGGTTTTGATTGTATTTGTCTTTATTTGTCTGGATTTGTCTCTATTTGTCCGAATTTGTCTAGTATTGTCCTGTTTTGGCGTTTTTGAAACGATTATTGTCAACATTGTCTTTCTTTGCCTTGACTGCCCAAAAAGTTCTAGGGTTCTACGTCCCCGAAATCTGGGTCACCACAACCGGTCAGTGAAAACCGGAACCTTTGCCGCCACCTGCTTCCGCTCGAGCTCCACGAGTGCGGCGCACTGCTCGGCTTGGTCACTTCGCAAGCATGGCGTTTCGTCCGAGAGGAACGCTGGCACGACATAATCATCGACCAAGCCGAGCGCTTCAACTCGGCTCGTGGTGCCCAAGCCGGCAGTGATTTCACTGAAAATTTGGGTGCTCGTGGTGGTTTTGCTGCAGCTTTTGCAATTCGGAAATGAGCTGGGAACAATACAACCCCATCATCGCCGATGGCACAAGCCCCGCAATAAACGCCAGCAGCACTTTCGCAACCATCGCTGCAAGAATCTGAGTCTGAGCGTCCGCCTAAACTGTATTGAAATTGACAGGGCTTTGGTACTTTGTGTCCTTATCCTGCTTAGGAATCCACATCGCCACGCTGGTGATGCTTGTCAACGGGCAAGCGACCTGGGGTGGAGTTGACAAATGCGAGTATCGGAAATGAAGCACAAGCACTTGCCTGCCACATTGATATCTTCAACTATCTCCATCCAGCGCGCAGTATTCCGCTCAAGACTTCTTGCTCCGCTTCACTTTCGCGAGATGCAGAGGACATCGATCAGTTTTTGCGACTATACCTAACGATCGTCGAAAGCATCTCACGCACATAATAGGAATCCCCAAGGGCAATGAAACGTAAACTTCTTTACAGTAATGCCCTACAAGCGGCACGAGGTGAGATGGCAATACTTGATGTCTGGGACCTTGAGGTGCCCAACAAGCTGCCTTTTTTCCAAAGAGCTCGCAACTGTTGCCTGAGCGCATCTGCCCAAGTGGCAGAAGGAAAATTGCTCATTGCGTCAGCCATGGTTCATCGAGGGTGAGATCTTGCTTGTGAGCTCTGTTGATGAAGGTATTTACGGTTCATCGGAAACCTTGCAACCGCGAGCACAGTTTGCAACCATGTATACTAGCAACATCATGTGCTGGGGTTGAACTTGGACTTCCTGATATCAGTCTTTCCAGGACCTTCCTCCATTCAGCTCACGACCTCATCATCGCGAACTAGCTGGGCATGCTTCACCCCGAGGAGACCTGGACAGATGCCGCAATGGACCAACATACAGCTACTGAGCGCAGCAACCTATCCATGAAGATGTGCGTACTTCTCTCCAGCATAGTGATTTACCGACGACTCTCAAGCGTGTAACAACTTGGATCATGATCGCGGCAGAAGTACTGCGGAAGATTGCAGCACGTTGCAAAAGCATTTTGTACTATCATGAACGAAAACCCACATGGCCGCACCTGCGATGATGGCCCAGACAACCACCCAGCCGACAGTGAAGCTGCCTGGCAAGTGAAGACTTTCGATTCACCCAACGAATAAGCAATTCATGAACAATAATGCTTCTTGTAGCTTCCATTTGGGGTTGCCACTTACTGTGGAAACTCAACCCTTTTCTTCCCTCGGCCGGAGTCGGTCGGTTTGAAGAAAAGGCCGCTGTGGTCGAACAACTCTGATGAAGGCACGCAGTGTAGCACTGCAGCATAGCCTTTTACGACTTGACCTACAAACTAACAGGCAAAGTACAGACAAGGTATATTCCTGGCAGGTTCGGGACTGCACAGGAGACACTACAAGGCTGGACTACAGGACGCCATCACCTTCATGCTCTGCAGGCTCACTGCTTAGCCCTGTTGACCACATCGTGCAATCCAGGCCAACGTTACACCTATTTCCATCGCATCCACAGGCTCTTTGGGATGTCGTATGTCGCACGGGATTTCCGCAAAGGTAAGATCTCAATGCTGAGCCGCGTTATCCTTACAGCAGGCTCTTAGTTCAACCGCACATGCATGGACAAGGTGGCTGGGGCATGATTGTCACCTCTCCCGTGCTGTAAGGTTTGTTGGTTGATCCCGCTCATAGTGGCTTCTATTCGCTCCCGCGGACTGCGGTGTGCCCGATACAAGTCCTCCCCAGGCTACCTGCGACCGGGACCCTGGGGACGTCGGACGCCAAGCCCCGAGAGTCGCTTCTCAAGCTCCGCAGGCTCGCCCATCATGCCGTCTGTCTTCCGTGCAGCATTACGATCGAAAATCGCGTTCGATGCTTTTCTTCAGCGCATTTCTCCACCCTCAGAATTCATGTCGGACGGGGGCCGCTGGCCTCCGAGTTGCAATCAGATCCTCGCCTTGCAAGTTGAGCACTGTGTTTTGTTGTTTTGCCAGGTCTCGCTCATCTGTGTAGTGTCAGAATATAGACACAGCCGAACACTTCAAACGATTTCCTTTGGGCCTGCGTCTGATCGAAATTATTCTTCCACTCTGGTTGGATCCACGCCCCGTCGCTCTATATGACAGCTTTGCTGCATTCATGCGTGCCGGCTTCCCTGGAGGTTCTGTGACAAGCCGGCAGAAGCCCGAGCTTATTTTTGGACAACGTTTCGTGCTAGCAGCTAGCATTAGACCGCCCTTCCAAAAGTGGGTCGCAGGCTTCTTGCGGGCGCATGCAAGCTCTGGCTTCATCCCAGGCACAAAACCGCGCCTGTGAAAATCGGGTTGAAGCAATGCGGCTGACAGGTGTCCTGCAAAGAGAAGTCTATACAAGCGAAAGGGCTTTCCTCATCTGGCTGCCTCTTGTTGGCATCCGTGTCTACGAACCGCAGGTGCAAATGCAGATGCCAAGTCTTTGGGGTCTCGTGGCACTTGGCGCTTGCAGACTCCAGGCCTCGCCTTTTTTGGGCTTCTCAAGTGCATAGTTCTGCCTCCTCGCGGTTGACGTGCAGGTTAATCAAGGCACCGATGGTTTTTTGCAGGAAGTTGCCGTACCTCAGTCAACTCCAATCCAAGCTGCTGCAATGCCAAACTTTGGAAAAAAAAACACCGCCCCCCGCGGCCTCCCTCAACAAAAAGGAGGCCAAGAAGCATGTCGGACCAACTCTTCGCCTTGTATTTGATGCTCTTCGAGGTGCGAACGTAAAGCATCTCCCCTGGCGCAAGAGCTGCCCCTGCTAGGACTGCTAGGAAGTTTAGCGTTATTTAGGGTAGAGCTTTTCTGCTTCTGAGAAGCTCTTGAATTCAGCACCCCACTGTTTAAAGTCCAGTCTCGGAGATCCAGACATTGCTCTCACGGTCCTCGGGACATCTGAACCTCCTCAGGAAGTGTCTGAAGATCAACACTCCTCAAACTCACACTTGTTCCAAACCAAAATCCCAAAGTACGATGCCTCGTTCTCTTGCTTCTTCCAGGTAGCTACGCGAAAGCGTCATAGTAAATAGGTGTGCTTTACAAACCCGGCCATGTCCAAACTGTGAGCGAAGGGCTTGGGTAAGAGGGTTCAGGCGTAAGGTTTAGGTAGAGTCTAGGTAGGTTCTAGGTTCTGGGGTTCCGGGGCTTAGGGTTTAGGCTCACTGAAATGCTACGTGGTTGTCATCGGGCCGTGCAACACGTGGCTGGGCGAACTGGAGGGCCCATTCAGAGCGTACCTTGGAGTGTCAGAGGGCTTAATAAGTACATCCCTGAACCAAACCCTAAACCCCAGTTAGTTGAGTGCGGCAGCTGCGAAGCTTTTGTGGCAATCGGGCTCTTCCACGCTACGACCAACTTTGTGCTACTTTCACCTGAGGTACTGGATCACATTGACCACCACGAGGACCGCTTGCACTGTCCAGAAGTTGTGGTAAAAGCACACGAGAAGGACCGAAATCACCTTCAGCCGCAGAGCTTTGAGCTTCAGGCTGACTCGGAGTGGGCGTCTTGGCGAGTACTTGGCATCATGTACTGTGGGTAGATGCTTTTGGCGACATTGTTGCCATCGTATTTCTTGTAGACTGATGCAGTGTGTACCCATATGTACCCCCCTGCTGCACCGCCCACTCCGTCAGTGCGGTGCAGGCCGCCTGGACTCTGATATCACACGGGAGCTGAAGGAGTCAATGTCAAAAACCATATCATCATCACGATACGTATGAATCGTATGACACTTTGTGCAAGTGTTGCGTCATTCATTCCAGCACCTGCGCTGACAGCTGTCATATATGCTTCGCCTTTCTCACCCGCAGGATGCAAAAACTCTCTGCCGATCGTTCCCTAACGCTTTCGTGTTTCGCACGTTTTTTCGAAAGACTTCGTTGATTTTTGTGCCAAAAGCAATGCTCCCACAATCGTGCCGCGAGCACAGCGGAGAATTGCTACAGAAAATACATGAGAGCTGAAGCGTCTTCCAGCATTGCATGACACCAGGTTGGGGCAAGGCCAAGGCATTCCATGTGCTTGCATCAAGCCCTTGCGCTTCCTGTCATCGTCGCTATCCAAGTTACGTCCCCTTTGCAGGATGGACATAGAAGATGAGTGTTTTTGCATGGTCTGATTTCAACAGATGCGACCCTTGGACGCTTTGGTGCAGAACCCTTCGCTTTGCAGGTGCACGGGCCTTTTGCACGCTCGATGCGGGCCTTTTGCACGCTCGATGCCAGCGTGTCAGCACAAAATTCACGCAGGAAAAGGGTATGCTGCAAGAGCGAGTGCGGCAGGCTGGTCATTTGCTGGTAAAGGACATGGTGCATTATAGATTACCGAACAACCTATCACATAACGCCACGACTTGGTGTCGCATCCAGAATTAAGGCAGCACATAATATATATATATATATAAAAGCTCATCACGGCAAGATACGTTGGCCTTAGTTGCGGCTTGGCTCGGGCGCGGTGCGGCTCGGCTTTTAAAGGGTTCCGTGGCGAAGTGACAGAGACAGAAACATAGACGCGAACATGACAGCGACATGCAATGTAATGCACATATGTATATACTAGTAGTTATTATGACATGAAGGGTTCAGCGCGAGCAGATCGCTAGAGCCCCAGGCCTAGGCCTTCTATTTTCCCGTCGCCGCATGCAAGAGGCTTCCAATGAGCCCGGCTTGGCACCTGAGGCTCCGACGGACACTCCAACCTAGTCTGGGCCGATTCTATGGCCAGCGGCCTGGGAAATAAATAAGCGCACGGTATCGCCTGAAGCCGGTACCCTCACCGATGCTTTTGATGGTCGGCGTAACACGGGCGTCCCCCAGGGGCCAGGTGCTGGAGCCGCCGCATGTTGTGCTTTCTTTCGAACCTTGCAGGTATTGCCCGAAACTGTGGGGCCTGAGTCCTGCCTGGGGACCAACATGTTAGCCGCCTCTCTGCAATGTGTTTTCTGCTTAAGGATTTCTGGATCATGTGACCCTCCTGCCTCCTGTGGATTGAGAAGTTACAGTATTTGCGTCATTCGTTGGTCACGCAACAGATGCGTTTTTGGCTGTACTGCAGCGGATATCTGGGGTTCTGAAAGCCGCATTCAACATTGGGATGGCTGTGTATGCCCGAGTCTGGGCGACGACACAATTGCCCCAACCGCTGCAGGTCTTGCGTGCAGAAGGGGTTCACCTCGCGGTCTGCTTGGGCATGCATGGCTATAGGATAGCAGGGTCAGTCTTGGCACGCAGTCGTTTGCAGATGTTGTGCCGTAGGTGCTGGACGTGCTTTTCGAAGCCTATGGACTAGCTCCACCTATAGAACTTATTGTGCAAAAGGCGCGACCAACGGTCTCTCAGCCTGCGGAACGAAGAATGAATGTGAGATGTGTGCACGTACGTATGTCGACGCCTCACAGACACCAATCCACACTGCAGCAAAGGCCAAGCTGCACCGACGAAAGGCCGGGATATGTCGTCTGTCAGACATCTGCGCACTGCTTAAGTACATGCCTATGTTTATGTCTAAGACTCTGCCTACCAAGAAGTCAAGCAAAGCACAGCCAAGCCAAGGCGAAGCCAAAAGCCGTGCCGCACCTAGAACAAAAAAACCAAGCCAGGCCAGCGGATCGTACCTAAAAAAAAGCACCAAGGGAAGAAGGGTCCTCTCATCACCACGCAATAGAATTTGACTACATAGAACAGAAACCTACCAACACAGCACGTGACAACGTTGGCTATGACAGTGTGCGTAGCACAACATTGAGTGAAGGCATGATGCAACCGGCCGTTACACGTGTAGGAACGTGACCAGTCGGCGCCAGAAGGCAGAGGTGAAAGGGGAAGCCCAGGTCTAGGCTCTAGATACTCGGAGCCGCCAGGCTGCCATGGCGATGGGCAGCGCGAGCAGGGTGACGAGGAGGCCACCGCGCTCGATGAGGCTGCGAAGGCCTCGGCGCTCGAGCACTCAGACTCCATGAGGAGCCCTTAGGTCTGCTGTGATGACAGGTCACGCATCTGGAAAGTCTTCTCGCTTCTATGTGTACTGCGGAAAAGTCGCCGAAAACAGAGAGCAAGCCTGTCCCGATCGTGTTGGCAACGTTGCACCAGGCAAAGAATGCCGTCTGCCTGCATGAGGAGTCTCCGAAGGGCAAGTTTTGCTCCTACAGTCCCAGCAGAAATGTCTGTGTCGCATGAAGCGAAAAATGTTATGCATGCTTCTGTTTTCTGGGCTCTCGGGCCGATCTTTGTTCCCTGGCACCACGTGCCCGTCCACCTTCCGAGGCCACCGCTCCTGAGCTGGCAGCAATGCCGAATTAAACAGTTTAGGATGCCTCAAGAAAAATGTTGAGGGGTATAGCGTCAAGCTCAAGCGGGCAGCTTGTTACGTATGTTTGGTGAATAAGAACACTAATCACTAAACACTACGAGGATGCTATCCAGAGATTCTTCATAGGCTACTATAGGTGTCCTACGGTCCTACGGAAGCACAGTCCTCTTTTTCTACAATTTCTGGCTCTGTGGCAGTCGTCTCGAAGGATCGTCAACCCTTCTACCACTTCCTTGATGAACTACAGACAGAAACCTCAAACAGGTACGGAAGCTTTGGCAGGCTATTCGCTCTTGGCCGGGACTCGTTCGTGAGAGCCGTGCCTTGATAGTCCAGAATAACGCGCGGTACAAGGTGAGCGCAGGCCTCAGCAGATGGAGTCATTTTGGTGGGAGCCGCAGTTGCAGGGGCAGGCGGCCTTGGGATGACAGAACTCGAATAAGCAACTGCTTGCGTTCTAGTGAAGGATGAGTTGGCTGGCCCGTACCAGGCCAGACTGCCAGACAAGAGGCGATCCAGAATATTCCCGCAACAAACGGGCGGGAGAGAATGAGTGCCTGAGAAGAAACGAGTGTCGACGGGTGCTGTGAAATTGTTACGAGGCGGTGGGCGAGGGGGGGACAGCACTAGACTATTGTGAAGGCTACAGATGCAAAGCCATGGTTCTGGTGTTCATCATCTCTTGCAACGACTGGCTGGTCCACAAGGACGTGCGGGCCAGCAAAACTTTCTTGTGGTCGAAGATGCTTGTCGAACATGGTGACATGATTACTCTTGCGACAGGATTTACAAAAAACCCTGCGCTTGAGGGGACTCGAGTCAGATGAACCAGGGAAACCCAACTTGCAGCAGCATCGGCACAAGTGAGAGTTGAGTGCTGGACGCTTTGCTCTAGTCTAGTGCAAAAATCAGACTCGTAGTGGGTCTCTCCGTGGCAAAATGGGTGTGTGCACAGTTCCAAGTAGAACATAGACTCAGACGGGCAGTGGGGATGCGCATGTATGTTGATCCATCACGTCTTTACCATTTGGGTAGGGATTGTGATTATCATTCGAGTATCCTCCTCGTAATTGCTTCGCATGGTTATGATGTGTCATGTTGGGTCCGGTCCCAGTGTGTCCAGATCGACGTTTGCTGTAGCTGAGGAGTCAGGTCCACTGTCCATGGACGGCAAAGATCGCTGGCTAGCTGAGTAGGGGGCAAGGGCGCCAGACCCCGACCATTCCCATAATGACGAGGACGTGATATCCTAATTAACGAAAGCGAGACCCCGAATGAGAAAGGATAACAAGGGTTCAAAAATGATACCCTGAATTCGGAACGGCTACACAAAGATTACAAAACTGTAAATAAGTGGAACGCATGATTGAATGAATGACATGATAGCTGATAGCCGTTCAGCAACAGTGCTGCTTCTGGAAGGTTGCGGGCCGCCGGGCCACCTAGCAGCCCGAAATGTCTCGACAAATGAGTGATAAAAATCACGATAAAACCAACCCAAGCCCAAATAAAAAGGAAACGATGAGTACATGGAACAACAAAAACTATAGGCTGGTTGCCGATTTGCGCAGGGCAAACAACCTCTAGTTCTTCACCGAAGGTCGCGGAACTTGATCTTGAATCCCAAACTCTACAGCTTGCATGGCAACGTGCCCCGCACTATTGAGCTCAAGCCGAATTGCAATGCCCTCCACGCTTTCCCACAATTTACGGACCGCCGCACGTAGTCCGACCACACAACAGCTCCTGCGCACGTGAGCAGGTTGAATGTCCAGTGATGCTACACAAGAAACGCCACTATCAGGTCTTTGTGCAATGGGCACTCCGGGCGTTTGGGTCACAAGCTGGAAAGCTGGGAGAAGCGGCGCAGCTCGGGTAGAGGATCTGGACGGTTTGTTGGGAGGCTTTGACTTGGATAGAGGAGGGAAAGAGGATGAGGACGACATGTAGTGTCACGTAATTACAGCACTTGGAGCGGGCTTTCGGCCTGTCGTATGCGTGCATATGCAATTAGTATGTGGTCATGCTCTATAACTAGCACATATGCACGGTCATGCTGAAATTCACACATATGCACATCTGTCCGTACATGTTTGTATATGCGCGCGCGGAAATGTTTTCCACGAACTCGTTCCGATTGACCCGTGGTGCTCAGATTTCAGAGCCACCCCAGAATTAGATCGGCAAGCTGGGATGCAACAGGACTGCAACAGGAGCACTGCTACGGTCGCAAATGTCCACCCCTTGGAGGGTCTGAACCATCAAGCTTCGTACGAGTGTTCTCATAATGTGTTGCCGTACCAGTGGCTGCACATACACGCACAGATGCATGTGCATGCAAAGGTGCCTGAATTGCTGAGACCATGTGTGTGTGTGTGCATGTTAATGTTTATGTGTCCTACAAGCTGTAGGACCTGCCGATGCAACAAGATATGCGCACAATTGACTTCACAATTAATACAGGACACGTCAGGACACCCTGTCCTGTGCACAGTGCCCGTCAGGGGTGCCCGTGCCTCTTCCAGAGCACCTGTGAGCGACCCGCCGCAGAGAAAGGGTTGGAATACGACAGCTTAGATCATGCCTCAGGATAGCTGCGGGCGGGATGCAGTCAGCATTCGTTGCACTAAGATGCACTAGGGTTGTCTTCACGCTGCACTGATGCACACGACCCTTTCCTTTAGAATGTTGTGCAACCGTACAGCTCTAAAAGGACCAAAGCTCGAACTCCTAGACTTCGCTCGAAGTCGCGAGGCCTGCACCAGCCACCTCCCAGGGAGCAATGTTTGTTTGAACGACTCGAGAGAGAAAATCCGCAATGCATCTGAAATCCTACATCCTGTTTGCAGGAGGGCATCCGGCTGCAGGGAGGTCTCGAGGGTGGCAGCCACAGGCTCCTTGGACTCCCCGAGACTTCAAGCATTGCGCACATCTACCGATCATCTACATTTCGGTTTAGGTCCTTTTCTTGTGTTGGGAACTTGAGGCACAAGCCCGCTCCCGACCCCGGCTGAAGGTCTGCATGCAAGGATCTGGGTCTGGTCGTGCCACTGCTGCAAGCCGGCAAGCAAACCAAACCTCGGCGGCATTGGGGCGCGTAAAACCGCACATGTGGATCGAACGGCTGGCACGAGACGCCTGTGGCCTACCTACGTCATGCATCCAGTCAAAGCTGGAAGCATTGAGACATTCAGGCGCTAAGGCTGGGGACTTCTCAATGCAGCAAAACCCTCCGAGGAAGCGACCAACGCTGCAATGATCACCAGCGCGACTGCCTCATAGACACGGCTTGTTCGAAGGTTGCCGTTCGGATGGCTACCGAGACGAGGACTCTTCGAGGGGAAAAATCGGTGCGAGGGATTCAGGCTGCCATTGACTGTGTGACTGGTGCAAGCAGCATCAGATATTGGCTCTCAGGTTGTCAGGAAGGCTGGTACGCGGTGATTGCTGTTTCTAGTCCAGATAGTTGATGAAGAGGTCGGCAAAGCACCTGAAATCATGAAGATGATGACGATAGAAATGATGACGGTGAAGATGAACATGAAAATCATGAATATGATGATGATGATGATGATGACGACCTCGGTGAAAGCAAGAACGATGATCATCCTGCTGCACGGGTTCCTTAGGTATCCATTGCAGGGATGTTGACGTGCTGTACATCATGATGCGTGATGATGCGTGAGGCCTGCAGAGAAATCGTCTCATTCCCATTCCGTCACTTCACACCTCGGATCCCTTTATGACTTGTTGCCGTTGTTTCTTTCCGTGCTTCTTGTATCACCTGAGGGCAAAGCACCCATGTGCAGTGGGGATGGGACGATTCCGCTAGAACGGAAGCGCGGTCGCATCAGCATGTTGAAATCTCCAAGCAATGCAATAGCTTGCAGGAGCTGATAAGGGATGGGCCTCCACCTTCGGAATCCGGGTGCCATACTGTTGACAGCATCCCCTTTGCAAGTGTGAGCTGACAGGTGTCAATGTCGGGAGCAAACATGAAGAGCAATAGCCACCCCAGCTTGTCTGTCATGCCAGTCTCACTGCCGAACAGTCTGACTACGACAAAGGCCTGCTAGGGGTGCCAATGACTCGGAGCAGTGCGAGTTCTGTTTGAACCGCCAGGGCTCCGAGCCCTGGCGGCCGGTTTTTGCAGGTACCGCCGCCAGACCACTGCGATTCATTAGTTGAGCTGCCGGGCGGCAGCCTGAAGCCGCGCCCGGCAAACAGATATGATATAGTTTCATTTGCGAGCTGGTATGGGCCTGAACTGTCGGGGTCTGGGGCGTTATCTCGGTCTTGTCACTTTTGGTCTTACCCTTTGCTTTGGCAGGGGTTGGAAACCTGTCGGCTGTTCGCGGGTTTTCGAAAGTTGTGTACATTCCCTGATGTCTCTTGTCCTTGTGTCGGTGCCGTGGCCAAGAGGTTATTGTGTCCACTTGCACACCGCTATTGCTTTTAGTTGGTGCGCATTGCATAGCATGCACGCAGATTGGAGCTTGGCCCTGCTCCCAGCCCGCGCCTGGACCACTAGTAGACCGGAAGTCCCGCCGACCCGATGCACGAAGGTGGCGTACAACGAGCCTGGACGAGTCACTTGCTGACTCTGGGGCTGGCGTCTAGTTGTCATACTGCTTCCATGCCGTCCCAGCAGGCTTGAAGTCTCGCTCCTGCCTGCGAGACCGCCGACTTGTCCGGCGAAGACCAACGCAGGATATGCTACCTTCCTTGGAGGATCACCACGTGAGAAGAGCGGCGCTGCCCCGGCTTCTGCTCACAGCCTGGGGTCCGAGCGAATACTGCGTGGAGGAGAGGTCGTTCATGACCTGCGGTGCCCTGAACGACCCTGCTGGGAAATTTTCAGGGAACACGCTGGGACCGGAATCAAAAACCTGTACATGGTGGCCAGGCTTCAGAGAAAAAGAAAGGAAGCGAAGAAAGGAGGCGAGGTGACACAACCGCAGAGAGGCAAGCCATCACTTTCGAATCTCACGACACTGAAGCCTCCAAACGATGAAGATGAAACCGAGCCAAAAGTCAGCAACAGCTTGATGCTTGGGTTTAGCAAACGCCCAGATGCTATATGATAAAAAAACAGTGTAGCGACATAGTTGCCGCCAAACATTAGCGAATAGAGCCTACAAGTTGAACACTCCGACAAAGCCCCCATGGCCCCCATGGCTTCACAGCAAACATTATTCTACAACACTTCTTGCATGCCTACCATCCGCCTTGAGATGTGGGGCAGAAGACATGGACCACATCAAACGGGCTGAACATTTCACACCGTTCCTCACGAAAACGAGATGCAGCCACTTCTCTGTTTTGCAATTTGAGTTTTCAAGACTTAAGCATCAAAGTCTCGTGCTGCCAAAAACGAAGCTCTGACATCTCCAATATCGTCTGCCATGCGACGCTCCAAAGCATCACCGGGAACAAGACCGACTTCGTGTTCGTGGCATAAAACAATATCCAAGCAAGCCTCGGGAGAGGAGGTTTCGAGAAGACTTTCGATCGCGGAGCTGTGACGTGTCAGCTGGTCGGAGTCAGGTGCTTGGCATTGCTTGGCCCAGCGTCGGAGCCTCAGCCTGCTTCAGCCTTCAAGTCTTCTCTGCACGGACTTTTCCCGGCTAGGACTTGGGGAACTGAATGTGACTGCGGCTGAACTTCTGAATTGTACAAGCTTCTTACTTATACCTTCGGCCTCTCAGTATGGCTGTGTTCTCGGAAAGTGACCACGGCTCGATATGTGGCCGCATCAAGGATCGTACTGCAATAAGAGCATAGACGAGGGCATAGACCGTGCAGACCTGGCAGGTCGACCCGGGGCGCGGCGGGCCCGCTGAAGAACTGAGCACATACTTCGGACGAGCCACAACAGTGACCAGAAGCTGCGGGCTTCGGAGTGCTGCCCAGAGGAAGTTGTAGAGGAAGAGAATGGGGAAAAGTACCAGCCTTGTAATGCAGTTCGGTGTCCCTCTTTCTGACTACCCCCAACAGCTCTGACACCTTAGACATGCAATCGCTGACTCTCACAACCACTTCGTGCAGCAGCTGGCTTTGCAACTGCCACAGATCCGAAGCTATCTTCAACGCACACTGGCCTTTCGCCTGACCCCTTCACCATGACAAGAGTCAGACAGGAGTAACCTGTCACAAACGAGTTTGGGCAAGCGGGGCCCTGAGCGAGAACCACAATTGGAGGATCATGGTACCCTTTCAAGCTTGACCACATTAATTCGTTGAGGATGTAGAGATGCACTGCCCTGGATCGAGGAGGGAGGTCGGTGCCGCTGCTTCTGTGCTCTCTGTTGCTCTCTCCTCCAAGGAAACCCTGCCGCTTCGGCTGCTTAGAGCTACATTCATGCTGGGAGTTCAAGCTAAGCAGAAACGAAGGAAAAGGCCGAGCTGAAGCGGCTTTCTGCTCAGGTGCGGCAAATATGTCTGCGCAACGGGCTGCTGATCAACGCCCACCTCGTCTGCGCAAGCACAGCGTGCACAGCTCCCAGCCGCTCCCAGCTACGTGAGCCCCGCTTAGGACTTCATGCAGATTTCTTTCAGACTTTCGTGCTCCAACTCGCAGAATCTGTCAAACTCCATCGAAGGCACAGAGTCCACAAAGGTGGAAATGGTCGCTGGATTGATCATCAGACCTGCAGCATCCGCCGCAGTTGAAACGTCTGCGGCTCGCTACGAGGAAAGGTGTGGGAAGTACGGATGGTCGCATCGCCCCAGACAGGCTCCTGCTGCATGCCTTCTGCACGAAATACAAAACAGACTAACCAGCAAAATCGCCAGGCACATTACAAAGACTTGAAACATCGTTCTTTCACCGTTCACCGGATGCTTTCGCTTGCTGATGCGGAGTCTTGCCTGTACCTAGCACGAGCATCAGCGCCAGTGCAAAGAACAGGTAGGCAACACGCCATTCGTTGGGCAGCTCTCGCAGCAGCTGCCTGCCGTGCAGGCGCAGGCTCAAACCCCCAAATAAGACTAAGGACGAGGCACTTCGTCAAACCTTCTCCACCGAAAGAAGTTCGCTGTCTCTCTTAGAGCTGTTGCAAAATCCGAGACTGTTTGTCGAGAGAACAGGAGGTTCCATTCTTTGCGTTGGACCACAACCTGCGCAGGTGTTCGATTCCTGTCCTGTCGACCCAGCTCGCCCTGGCCGGTGGATCTTCCGCAGGAGGCATCATGGCTTTGTTCGCACCGAGTCGCACCTTGCTTAATGGACTGGAGAGCCCATCTAGGTTAGGATGTGAAGCTGCACGGCAGAATGCCGGTCCGAACCAGGTGCGCAGGCTACCCTATCCTCACGGGGCCCAACACTCGTTGACAACATCGGTTTTCACGGCAGCTCTTGCAGTTGAGCCGACTTGATGTTCACTTGGCTCTAATGAGGCAATAACGCTGCGGTGAAGGTCCGATCCATATGCATCCCACTCTGTTCCGACTTCGATGTTTCGCAGACGCGGGCTTTTGATGTCCTGCATCTGTTGTCCACTGGTTTGCTCCATGGATAGAAGCAGCCCACCTGCCAGTTGAATTCGAGTCGCCGTATCGGCACATCACGAAAGCTGGCTGATCCAAGCTAAATTTAGAATGATTTAGACGGGTCCTGCTGAGCTCTGCTCTGCGAGCTCTGCTCTGCGAGCCTGAGACCTGCCAGCTTCGGACCCTTTGGTCCGAAGAGAATCAAGCGACTGCAGACGGCCAAAGCGAGAACTATCTGGAATTTTGTCACATATATGCCGATGCCTTCATTGATGGTAACTTGTGGCAATGTAAGTCGCAGAGAACAGGCACTGACTCACCCATCTTGTCTCTGCAACATGCAATATTGCGATGGTTGAACTAAAGCAAGGTTTTAAACATCTGCGAAGCTGAAGAAGCTGTTGTCAAGGACACCAATACTTCTAGGGTTACAGGCACTTTCTGCCTGATTCTCTCATGAGGTCTGTGCCTTGGAATTGATAGAGTTGAATCAGTTTGGTTTCGTCATCACGACGGTCTGCGCTGGTGAGACGAAAACATCAACCGGCCCTTGGGCCGGTTGATAGTACATGAATCTTGGGCTCACGAGCCTGAACTGGTTGTGCAGAGAGCAAGCATTTTGCAGCATGATGCCAACCACCGGCATGTAACAGACTTGCACAGTGTCTGCAGCGGCACTTCCAGATAGTATATCAGTATATCGTGAAGAAACTGAAAAGACACAGGATGTGCAAGAATAGTATAACATTCGTGGCCGAGGTCCTCGACGGCGCATGGCACACGTCCGCATGCTTGGAGCTCAGTTGACACATCCCATCGACACCTGAGCCAAGCATCTGGGGATCGCTTGAAGACTGGGCCCACCTGTGGATGCCCCAAGGTTCATGTTTTCTTAAATGCCACGATGGGTTTCCCAACCGTGAATTTCGGCAAGTGCTTGGGGCCGTGTGTCATCGGGCCGTCTGAAAGCAGTAGCAACTACTTCAACATCGCATCGCGAGGGAGAGCGGGGAAAGTCAAACCTGTGTCGTCAGCATGAGCACTGCGCACTCCTGCTTATGCAAAGGCGGCGGCAGGTGTTGCGCCACCATCCCGAATGTCTTCGTCCACACCATTGATCCAGTTTGTGAGCCTCTCATCTGCAGGCTGGGCAAGCTTGGGTCTGGGCTTATAGATGTTGAGTCTGCTATGTCCCGAGATCATCGACGAAAGCTGAGGTCAGCACGTCCGGAGAGGATCAAACTCCTGCTCCTGAGGGTTTGGACGCACAGGCGTCCGGACCTGGAGAAAACCGGGGTCTGAACGGCCAGCACCACCAAGCTTAATGTCATATTCTCAAACTCTTAGCAAATCAGGGCGGAGTTGAAGCATTACTGCATTACGTTCGCCAGCACCCGAGCCCGTGGAAAGCTGCCTTCGGAAGCCCCGAAGCTGCCCCTGCTGCCTATGCTCACGACAGATCGATGTGATGCAAGGAAGGCATCAGGGCGTCACTTGTGAAAAAGCGAGCACATTCAAACCTGGAAGAGCCGAGCCATGCTGCCTATGACTATGACAGGCCGGTTCGGCTTCAATGCTATGTGCTCTTTGCGGATCTTTACGATATGCTTCTGGGCACCAATTAGTTAACGCCAGGCCTGGTAGCGAACCCTCCACAGCTGCTCACCCTGCAGATCAATGCTGGGCTTGGTGGCAAGCTTGCAATCAGCTCATTGAGCTGCCCTCGGCCCGTAGCGGTGCAGTGCAACATGCTGTTTTTCCGACGCAGGACATGTCACAAATCGCCCTTGGCTACGACAATTTGGTTCGACATCAGTTGAGTCAGCAGCTTCTGCAGTTTTGCATCCAACCTTAGCTTCGCAGCTACGCACGCTCGCCGCCTGCAGGATCAGCTTCCGAAATCTTCCAACGTTCGACCTCTCAATCAAGCGGCCCTCTACTCGCCTTACTATGCTCCTTGACTCTTGACATGAGACTGTACGAAAAACCTGGCAAGGCAACCATTTCAGCCTGCTTATATGTATAAGGAAGACGTGGGTGTTAGCCATGCTCGCTCGTCCGTGCACGTCCCTACTTCGGTGGCTCGTCAAATTCAGAGAAGACGACGGCCAGGACGACGATGGCAGCGAGGAGGCTGGAAGGTAGCGCGGGCAACGTAACGAACAAGGCACGAATGTGAAACTCGATCGACGTCGCAGGTTGGCCAGTCTGATATGGAAGATAGGCCTACAGTAGCAGAGGTACGCATGCCTCGGTTTCCCGAATCACAATTCCACCGACCAGTGCGCATGATCCAGCACCCATCAGAGAAGCACCGAAGCAGACATCCTCGTGTGACACTGCAGTCACTCACGTTTGCCCCCGCTCTGTGCAGCGTTCCTGTCGTTCAACAAGCTGGGCGTATACCCAGGGTGTCAACACCAAATGTTAGAACGCTTGCCTTGCCCAAAGAACTCATCGCCGCAGGGTGCTTCAGGCCCAACGTCTTCAGCTTCGAACTCGATTGAGGCTCTGCTGCGACAGTGCATACAAGATCATGCAAGTCCTGGCGATGCATGCCCCAGAAGCAATCCGACAAGACTTCCAGAGCCTGAAGGGTTGCGAGCAAATGCCAACAGAGTGCGCTGTTGTCGCAGGGGGTTTCCAAAGCTTTTCCGGAGAATTGGCGACCCCGGGCCTAGCCCAACACTCCGAGCCAGCCTCTCAGATTGAAATAAGATGACGCCATGAAATGTTGAGTGACTAATCCACCTTAAATCCACGGATTACAAGTCAATGCATGCATTCATGAGTCCAAGATGCTGCTTGACATCATTCTGAAGCGCAAAGGTGTCGATTGCTCGGGCGGCGCCCTTACATCCTGAAGCTGGAAATGCACTCTCCCTACAAATCCAATCTTCAAAAGCGTTCTCGAGACCTTCGTCAAAGTCAAGCGGGCAGCTGTCCACCCTGTGAGAATTCCAGGGGCAAAAGGACCCCAAGACAAAGTCCTAAATAGCTAAGAGAAGGACCCCGACATACGGTATACAAGTGGCTCATGATGCCGCTGATGAAGTCATCCAGTGTGACCTGTGATTTAAGGGTTGAAATTTCAATTGTTGACCTCCTGTCTTCGGAAAATGTATGCGAGTGCAGTGCTCTAGTTCTCAGATCGAGTAACCTATCACAGGGGAGCTGCAGAGTACCCTTTCGACAGTTGGGGAGTGGTTGGTCATGTGTTTGCGGCTTGTGGGTGTTGTTTGACAAATCAGTCATATAGCGTCTGTTAGACGATGCTGTGAGCCGTATGCACGCAGCATTTTGGATTTGCCGAGGTGAGCTTTACACGACATTTTGCAGGGCTTGCCTGTTTTTGCACCGTGCTTCCTGGAGCTGTACGAAGGTTTCTGCCATCTTTCCTGCAGTGCTATCTAGTCTACAAGCTGCTGGTCGCCAATGTATGTCGTTTGAAGGACCTAACAGCCCACATGTATATCCGGGACTCAGCCCTTCTTGCAGGTCTTGATGCAAATCTAGCATGCCCTGACGTTTATGTCGGGATCCTTTTTACATACAGAGCGGGGGGTCTGGTCCTTTATCTTGCTTTTGCTTGGGGCGTTGATTGCAATCGGCTCAGAAGCTTGTGCTTGCAGAAGAGCATGGCCAACGCAAGGGCTTTCGCTTCTGTCTTTCGTGTGCCTCGGGGCTGGATTGTCGTTCTGGCTGCAAAAATACTCCGGCTGCACGACAGGAGTTGAGCGGTCTTGTGAGCTTTGTGCCCAGCTTTGTGCCCCCGCACCCAACACGTTGTGTCTCCACGTGTCAGCATTCCAGGCTGGCAAGAATCGGAAAACTCGTCGGGCACCCATACCACAGCATTCTTCTCGACTGGGATTCCCTTGCGTCTTTGGCTTGACCGATTGAGAATCGTGTTCGGTATTATTCTGCCATCGGCAGAGCCTACCGCATAGGTCCTTCGGCCTTGGACACCGGCCGCCTGCACGCATAAAAGCTTTTAATGACAGCTGTTTGATCCGCATGTATAAACACTAACTTTTCTTTTGGGCGCGGCGGTCGTATAGCCTTTACCAACCTTCCAACTACTGATGCTGTCCTTCCGTGCAAGTTCCTCCTGCGCGTGCCTTGTTTAGGAGCAGGCGTCGACCACATCGGAGCCGCCGAAAAGACACCCAGGTTGTAAGCCCGATGGTATCAAGCACCGGGAAAAGTCCAAGAACTAAACGATGTCGATAGTTCCACATCTTGATCATCACTATGACCCTCATCATCCGCATAATGAGGGAGGAAGGCCTGAAAGAAGTGGCCTGGCACCCTCACATAGAAGAAACTGACCCCAGTAAGGCCGATGAACAGGCTCTGGCATGCAAGACTTGCAAGCCACAGCACCTGGAGGTTTGGAATGTTTCAAAGGCAGGCAAGGGCACCTCTCCGTGGCCGTTGTCCAGAAGGTGGAACAAAGCGGCACCCTCCTTGGAGAGCCAGAGTGGCTTGGGTTGCCACACTGCTTTTCCCTAGTGGAGGCACACTTGAATAGTGAAAGCGTTGCCTCTGCGATACCCTTCTGTCACTTCTGTCCGTTGCCGGACTACCCTCAACTGAAACCTTGCAACATCTTGCCGCCCAAGGTTCTTGAACGTCAATCTCCAGCGTGGAGAAGTAAGCCTTCACCCTCCTGGGCGTTGAAGTCACGACGGACAGCAAGGATTGCACTCAAGGAGTTTGGTGGCTGTCTTGGGCTCTGGCCTGTATCGTTAGGAGATTCGAATCGTAGCGATGCACAAAAACAAAATTAGCCAGCTTCAGCAAGCAGAAACTTCGCGGTCTGTCCCCGTGAACCCAAGTCCATAATGCTACCCGGAGACACTGCGGCAACATGACACATGACCCTGCTCCAAAGTGGAATCCTGCGGAACAGTATTGCTGTGCTCCGGAACACCAGCTTGTGACATGTCGGCTGGTGGGCAAGTGTCGGGTTCGCGAGAATCTCTGCAAGTCGCTTCTCCGTGAGGATGCCTCAAAAAAGGTTCTTGCTCTGAAGCACAATGACAAGGTCTTGGTATATATAGCAGAAAACGGTACCATCCGGCTGGACTAGGTTGGCTTCGCTGCCAAAGGATTTGAAGGAGGGTTTAGGGCGATAAGTTGGGTGAACGGCTGAACGCAGGAAACGCAGGGACAGGTGAGGAGGCACCTTTGAGCCGCCGTCTACGTTTTATTGATCGCTTAACGTACGGGTCGCATGCCAACAAACAGCACCAGCTTTTGTTTGTTGTTTTGTTGTTCTGAACTTGGGGCACAAGGCAAGCAGGGCACCTGCTTCTCGGCCTTCATCATCAATGATGGCATTGAACAAACCTTCCAGCCTCCACAACACATGCGCGAATCCCTCCGTAGCAGAAATGGCAGGATCCTTTTTATGACATCAAAACATGGCACGGGAAAACATGGCACGGTAGCCAGTCATTCCATCGAGTTCTCGAAAGCCAAGCAAACGGAGCTCGGGATGCACGCCTCTCCACGTACGCTTCTCGTTTTCGAAGCCTATCGAGCACCAAGTGCTGTGCATCATTGTTCGCCTTATCCAGGCTGACAGGTGCTGGCAGGAAAGGCTCTACAAGAACAAAGAAGGGTATATAATTGGCACTGTACGTACATTCAGTAAGACTAAATCCCTACAAGCCCCAGCTAAGCTTGAAGGTCCAGAAAGATTGACCCGCTGGGACAAATTGACAAGACTAACACTGCCGAGCCGGGACCAAGCCAATGTACAAGACTGTAAGGGCAAGCGCTTGGAACAAACAAGTGCAAGCGTTGCCACCTGCTTGGAAATTCAACCATTGACTCGTCACTCACAGAAAACGCTTTCGACTCTGGATTCATGAGGGACACGCTTCTGAAATCAGGCAAGGCATGCTGGGAATGCAGGAAATGCTGCGGCTTTACTGTACTCCCTCTGGCCCTTGCAACTTGACGAACTCATGAGCAATTTTTCTTCTAGATCAATTCGGCCTCGTCCAAGGTGTCCTTGAGAAAGATGGCCGATATCACGCGGATCACAGCGAAAACTATAATTGTGACGTACAGGAAGTAGAATATCACATAGGCGTGACTCACCTTCTCGAGGATCGGCCTTACGTTCGAAGGCCAGTTCCTCAGTTGAGGGATGTGTAGTGTAAACTAAGGTCGACCTACTTTGAGATAGCACCGAACAATTTTGCAGAAGGGCTGCCCAGGCACCCCGCAAATGTTATTTCATAAAGGGTATAAAAAGCACGGTATGTGGTGCCATAGCGATTCCAGACCCACAAGCGATCCTCCAGCAATCTGGTTTCGTCTTTGATGAAATCCTGCAGTAAGTTGCCCAAAATCAAAGCGCCCATACCTCAGTCTGGAAAGAAACGATGGCAAACACATGAATACGCACTTCTGCCTAGGGGCCACCACCTTGACTGAATGAATGGTCGAGGAGCACATGAAAACAGCCAGGAGGAGCATGGACCAGCACAATGAGGGTAAACAGCACTGGCAGGCCTGCATGTGGATTGGGAGCAGGGACTTGCTCTTGGGTCGATCCGAAGCTGTGCTAACACTTTGGGGCCTTAAGGTTGACGTCTGTCCCGAAAAACCATCTCGTTCTCTAAAACATACCTCCGTCCCCTTTGATGCTTGCGTTTGATTCGATTACATTGTCCAAGGCTACTTCATTGCCCGGGCACAAGGGCAATAAGATCAGAAAATATTCCAAACGTAATGCTGACATCATAATTATAACAACCCCGCATTATAAAACCCGACCCCTGAACTCAGATATCACCCCCCCCTCAATTATAAAACCCGACACCCTAAATCCGAATCGGAAGGAGAACGGCATCAGGACACCCGCCGAGCCCTTTGAGGCACAAGAGTCTTCGCGACTTGTGGAAAATGGCCACAGGCGCGGCTCCGGAGTTCGGCTGTTTCTGATTGGTAGCGGAGCAGGTGTGCTCCAGGTAGTCTCCTGCGCCCGTTACGCTAGTTTGCCATGGCTGTCCCGAAGCCCAAGAGCATGTACAAACAAACTTCATGGAACACTCCCGGTGGCCAGTAGACGCCGGACTACAGTCCCCCGGATACAGCAGAGCTGCCAACTCCGTTTGCCCAGGGCTCTGGGCGTTCTACGACGACGCCTTCGGATCCTTGGACTCACTACCTGGCTGCACAACCGAGCAAGTGGGATCATTCAGTGGGAGAAGACTCGAGCCTACAAGCAACCGAGCGGGGGAGACGCGTGGACACGAAATGGGAGCTGGAGCTGGAAGGCACTTGGGGAATCGCCTCCACTGGCTCTGGCGGCGACGCCGCGCATGAGGTCGTCGATGACAAGAACGATGATGGTTCTGTGCCTGTCAGTACGTTCGAGAGAAGCACGACCGTGACCGGAAGGCCATCATTGTCTCAGGGCTACTACCACTCTGCGCCGGCGGCTACTACCTCAGCAGCAGCACGTGCCGGAGGTGACGGTGGCGAAGAATCAGGACGTGGACCCTGGGAACAAATGGTCGTCCCCAGGTTCAACGGCGGAAACGGAGATGATGGCGAAGAACTGGGATACGGCAAGATCCTACCTAGGTCAGGTGGCTGCCTGGCAGAAGATGACACGGATCAGTCCAAGCCGCCAAGGACTGGTTCTTTATCAGAACCTTTCATGTAAGGCCTGGACTGAATCGGAGCGGCTTGATTTGGATCTCTTGAGTTCCGGCAATGGCGTGGCTCACCTGGTGGAGTGGATCAAGGAGCGCTACTCTCACGTCCAGGTCACTCAGGTGGGCAAGGCGTTGTCAGACTTCTTCAGAAAGTTGCGAAAGAAGCCGGATCAGAGCATCCGACACTGTGTCGGGGCCCAGGCCAGATTGGAGGAGTGCGGATGCTCCCTGCCGAACATTGCCCAAGCTTGGGTGTTCATCGACAGGATGAATCTTGAAGAGCCTTCAGAGCTTAACCTCTTGGCCTCCGCTGGGCAATGTCTACGACCTGAGGAAGTTGCAACAGGCAGCGATTATCCAGGACCGTGCTCTGCGAAAACCCTGAGAGTCTACGAGCGTGACAAAACTATGGACCAGACGACAAAGTTCAGACGGCCCATATGGCCGATGCCCTGGATTTCGAGGACACTCCGGCGGGCGACTTCGGGATCACGGATGAGGTCGAGGAAACGATCCCCGAGCACATTGCCGAGGAGCTCTTCACGACGTTTATGTCTCATGAGACGGCCAAGCAGAAGTAGCGCGACAACCAGAGGAATCGCGGTACGGATCCCCAGGCCCTCCAGCAGATTGCTGCTGAGCGCTTGAAGCAGATGAAGGCCCGCTCCTTTTGCGCGGGCTGCAAAGGAGAAACCCGCAGAAGTGGACTGCAACGCAACAGCTTGGAAGAGTTCGGGAAAGCGTTGGTTATTCGCGTAACACCCATAAGAGCTTCTCACGTGTTCACGAATTGTGGATTGACTCGGCTGATGAGAGCTGCTACTCCGTGGCCTGGGTCGGAAGGACTTCCTTCGCTAGGCGCCCTCTGCCTATGTCACCTATGTTAGAGGCGAGCCCTTCAATTCGTGATGGCCTCGCACCTGCCGACACCGCCGAAGCAGCCCGCGATCGCGTCGCTGAAGAAGCCGGAGCTCGTGGAGGAAGGGGTGCCGATCCGCCCTCAGTGGACTGCACCGGAACTACTCAGCGTGCTGGGCAAGGAGAGGGCCAAGAAGCAGAAGGAAAGCTGAATCGTGGAGCCTCCAAGCTTCTGCAGGTACCTCAATGATGCCGACAACCACAGTGCAACCTCCCCGGCTACCTGAACCAGACGACCAGCTTCGACAACTTCGTGGGTGGAGAGTTGTGGGTGGCCAGGGAGAACTATATGGCGAGTCTACTGACGATACCGCAGTGTGGAAGGAGGACGCCAAGGGCAAGATGAAACCAGGGGTGCTCCTCCGCATTCAGGAGGACCCGGAGGACCAACATGCGACCCAGCCCTGGAGTGGGACAGGTTGGTGCCCTCACTTTGTTTTGCTTCCCGTGCGTAGGCACGACGCGAACGTGATCTACTACAACGGATTGGTTCTGGGCTACCCGACAGACGTCGGACACCACCACTCCAGCGAGACAGTGGAAATGGCACGCGGAAGAAGGGCAAGGCCCGCCGAGAAGGAGTGCTCGCGAGTTCCTCCAAAAGACGGCCAAGCGCCAAGTGCATCAGCACTTTGCCTACCTGTACCATCCTTGCGGCGGCCAACTACAACAGCACGCGCCTACCTCCGCCCGGCCCCGTCGAGGCAATTGCACTAAGGAGTCAACAAGACTGTCGAGGTTACCGATCACTACACTACCGACTCCATCGACACCGATCTCCTCAACCACCGAAAGGGACGGGACTACGCCATGGAGCTCATCAAGGATCTCAATTGCCGGCCACCCTCTGAATCCACAGTCACCCACCACCACGACAAAGTGACCCAGTATATCTAGGAGCAGACGAGGGTCAAGGGGCGGGTGATCGTTGAAGCACCAGAAAACCATGATTTCTGGGAGTCGTCGTTGGGGGCCACCCTGTCTGATGCCCCGACGCGAGGGCTGGCGAAGCAGTTCGATGACGGTCAATGACTAGACCATGATCTCCTACGTGACCACGGCCAGTGGAAGCCGACAAGGAGGTGACGGACAGGACGATGCACGCCTGGAGCTTCAGGATTTCCAGGTGAGCCGAAGATAAGACCGAAGTGAGCTCTGCTTTGAAACGTTCGATGCTAACCTCGGCCATCCTTCCCAGGCCGATTTGTCACGACACCTTCGTTTGGCAGGAGCGCGGCCTGAGGTCATCCAGGCCTCAAAGAGGCTACAATATGTGAGACGTGCCAACGATGCAGCCGGGGCGGCATTGGCGGAATTGCACGCCCAGCCACTCTACCGAATGTCCATCTACGACCACGGCACCTCCTACCACATCGCAGGCCCCCTTCGAGGCCACAGTACCGCGGCCATGGGACACAGCTTGTTTCCGAGTCTCGCGGTTCACAACGCCGGGCCCCATCCAGACCCGACACCCAAAACACAGTTCGGACCTCAAGAGATCCCATCAAGGTTCTCTCTATCTGGAGGGAGGGGGTTGGCAGGTGAAAGTTGGGACAGCCTGCCGTGGGGTGAGCGGGGGGGCAGTAAATGAAAATATTTTCCTGGCAACGTCTAGATTCGTGCTTGAGGATCTGTCGTTCATTCTCCCAGTAATGTCATGTGCGCCGTTCGCGTCGCTTGCTTGAAATTTATGCCAATCTGCAGGCATCTCGCCTTCTAAACGATGGTGATAGAAAGCATTGGAACACCACAGATCCAGAAAGCAATGGAACATCACAAATCACTGCATGGTTCATGGCTTCTGGGTTTAGAGTTTTCGGATGTTTCAGTTTAGTGCTCTTGGGTTTCGGATTTCTGGGTTCAAGGTTTGGGATTTCTGGGTTTAGGGTTTGTAGGTTTTGGAGTTTCTGAATTCAGGGTTTCTGAATGGTTTTTGGATTTCGGGTTCTGGCTTCAAGGGTTTAGGGTTTCTGGGTTCGGGGGTTCTGGGTTCAGAGGTTCTGGGTTGAGGGCTTCTGTGATTGGAGTTTTTGGACGCTTCTGGGTTTACAGTCTTTTTCCGCTTCTGGGTTTCGGATTTCTGGGTCCAAGGGTTTGGGGTTTCTCGGTTTCTGGGTGGTTTCCGTGTTCAAGGGTTTAGGCTTACGGCGTAGAAGCAGTAGTTAGTAGCAGCAGCCGCAACCGCAGCCGTAGCAGTAGTTGCTGCTCGCGTAGCCGCAGCCGGAGGCGCAGTAGTAGCAGGTGGAGGCACAGCAGCCGGGACGCGATTGGGGGGGGGGAACGGGTCGCCGGAGTACTCGCTGCTCCCTCCGAGGTCCACAGGGTCCTTCTTCGAGGCAACGCCCAAACACTTTAAATGCCCCTCCCCCCTAAATGACGAGCGCAGCTTCGCGGATGCGATTCGGTCTCGGATTGGCGCTATCGGGCTTGGAAAGTATAGAGGTTCGGGGGTATAGGTTTTGTTGTGGGGTTAAGACTTCTACTTTGGTCTACGATGTAGAGGATTGCGGGTTTGGGGCTTCTGTGTTTCTGTGTTCAGGTTTCTGGTTTGAGGCTTCTGGCTTCAAGCGTTTGGGGTTTTTGGGTTGAAGGGTTCTGGCTTCAAGGCTTCTGGGTTTAGAGTTTCTGGATGTTTCAACATTTAGGGTTTAGAGCTTCTGGGTTTGGGATTTCTGGGGTTTGGGGTGTCTGCGTTTCTGGGTTTAAAAAGATCTCAGTTCAGGGTTTCTGGATGTTTCTGGCTGTAGGCTTTCTGGCTTCAGGGTTTCTGGGTTCAAGGCTTCTGGGTTTAGAGTTTCTGGATATTTCTGTTTAGGGCTCCTGGGTTTGGGATTTCTGGTTTCAAGGTTTGGGATTTCTGGGTTTAGGGTTTCCGGGTTTTGGAGTTCCTGAATTCAGGGTTTCTGGATGTTTCTGGCTTTCGGGTTTCTGGGTTCAGAGGTTCTGGGTTTGGAGTTTCTGGGCGAGTCTTGGTTTATGGGTTTAGCGCTTCTGGGTCAGACCACATCCTTGATTTGTTGTGTCTGACAGCATGCGGAGCACGTAGGGGTCAGTAAATGAATTTTCATTTTTCAACCCCCCCCCCCCTTCCCCCCAAAGAGCAGCGAACTTTCTTGACAATACTATATTTTAAGGGGGATCTGGATCGACCCTTGCAAGGGCCGGGACTGCTCCAGGCAGCACCTCAGACCCTCTGCCAAATTTGTGCCCAGAGCGGGGTCTGAAGTCCCCACCCCCAATTGAGGGGATCCTTTTGCGACTTTTGGTCTCGAACCTTCGACGGCCCCGGCACCTTGGCTTAATTTGGATCTGGAATCCGGACTCTAAGCTGGCAAGGCACGCTATAGTACCTGGTCGCGGGCCAGGCGCATTGGCAGCTGGGTCCCACTGAACCGCATGGAGGAGTTTGGAAGGCCAAAAAGGAAGAGAGCCTGCTCGCGATCCCTACGTGCCCGGAGAGCTGTCGGATGAGAGAAATGGGGAGCAGTCGGAGCAGCTCATCACCCATGATCTAGAACGAGGACGAGAACACGCCATTCGCATGGCAGCGCGGCCCGCCTACTTTAGAGTGCAAGGGGATCAAAAGCTGAAACGTGCGGTACTACTACAACCGACAGTCACAGGAGAGGAACTACACCCGGGAGACCTGGTGCTGTTCCCCAGGTAGCCAAAGAACTTTTCTGCTTTGCACAAGCACCACTCAAAGTAGAACGGCTAGCGAAACGTGGAGCAAGTGTTTACCCAAACAACCGTGTGCTGGCAGTGTGCTACAGTGACGTCAGTCAAGTCGCAGTAAACAGAGGACCAAAACAGAGCAAACCCAGAACCCAAGACCCGAGCACCAAACAACAACGACAACAACACCCGAGTCTTCGCGACTTGCGGAAAACGACCACAGCCGCGCTTCTGGAGTTCGGCTGTTTTAGCCTAAACCTCACTTTTTTTGAAAGCTTCGTGATGTCGGTTGCTAAGCTTTGTGGGAATCTGCTCCAATATTGCAAAAAAAAAGAGAACCTGCAATTACTACGACTGCTTTAATATTGCAGAAAGAGAGAGACTGCAATTACTACGACCGCTCCAGTATCGCAGAGAAAGGCAAACTAACTGTAATTACTGCGACCCTTCCAGCATAGCAGACAGAGAAACTGCGAGCACTGCAGATTCGGAAAGCTGTGCTTTTGCAAGCCACGGGACTGCAAAACCGCAGATTTAATGGATCTCAGATTTCATGCCTTCTTTAATACAATTCCTTATTCCGGCGGCAAAAAATCAATCCCTGCTGATGGAGTACTAACAGAAGCCGTTCTTCCGAAATATAAACCCCCCTCAATTATAAACTCCTCTCGGGGGAGGGGGGGGCTTCTGGTGGTGCCTACAGAAGCCATGAAAAGAAAGCAAGTTTTAGAAGCCAAACCCTTCCTTGGGGAAGTTTTGGATTCAAAAGGACAGCAAGCTTTAGAAGCCAAGGAATTACTACCACCGCTCCAGTATGCAGATAGAGAGAGGGAGAGAGACAAACCGTGACCCTTCCAGCATTGCAAACAGAGCAAAACTTGCCTTGGCTGCCCGAAGAAGCAGGCTCTACTGCATTACTGTGCCGTTGTAGTAATACTGTACTGTACTACGACGACTGACCCCCCGCCCACTCAATAATCAATCCTCCCCTGCCTGGCCCGGAAATCAATCAAGGGGGGGGGGGGTTATTACTATGAGGTTAACATTCGGTCCTATAAAGCTTGCGACAACCGCGATCCTCGCCTCTTTGAAACTCCCGTGAGTATGACGAAGCTACTTAACACTCGAAAGTTCCGTCGCTGCAAGACCTCCCGCAATGAGAAAAGACGTGAGCCCACTCCCCATCCTCAACCCCATATCCGTGCCCTAACGAGTATCTTAGTTATCAAGCCAGGCCGTCTAAGCAATTCCGCTGTAGCCGGAAAATTTCACCGTCCTTCGACGGACAACCAACCAACCGGCAAGCTTAACAACTGTTCTTGCTTCCCTCCACAATGAGCTTCCTCTGATGTTCTATCGACTTTGTCTGTAACAAGTGTTGTCCATACAAGCCTTGACGAGCATGCGAAGGCCCGGTGAGAATCTGAAGCTCCTGGCGCAAACGAGCCGGAATGAAGCTGAACAGAGGAGGCAAAGTTGCTAGTGGCCCCTCGGGCAACAACACAGCAAGGGATTTCTCTCTCTCCTCTGCTCTGCTCTGGCTAGGATACTCCCGTGCTCGACACATGGATACTTGAGACCTGCTGGCCTCACCATGCGAATGGCACGGAAAGCTTTCAATGCCGAGACGAACCGCAAAGTCACCTGCCAGCCAAACAACTTGCAGAAGGCTGATCGGGTCAAGGTCACGGGACTATGCAGGCTGTACGCTTCGATGCAGCTGTGCGCCCTGCCCAAAGCTGCAGACAAGGCACCATGTCCTGATCTCCTGGAGCAGCGGATGGAGCCAACGTCCTTTGCTGGTTTTCCGCTGCGTCCAGTAGCGGCTATGCCGCTACGGACTTTGGTGCGAGCAAGCTGCAGAGTCATGTCCACCAGTCCGCCGGCAACCAGGATGAAGTCCAGCCAGTTTGCAATGTCCTCCAACACTCAAGCAATCACAGCACTCCAGGAACCCCTGCAGCCCCAACCCTCTGCATGTGGCCTTGACAAACTTCCACCTTTCCAGGACAATGCGAATGAGGAGCTCTGCTAGGAAAATAAACACGAAGACGCTGTCCATCACCTGGAATGTTGGCAGTATGCCATCGAAATTCTGGCGTTCGGCGTGAAGTCCCAGACTGTGGGCGATGTGGCGACCCTCCATCTCCAGCTGCAGCATAAGCAAAACTGAATTCAGCAGGACGAGAGCCCCGGCCACGTGGTCCAGATAACGAGCGACCGACTCCACGCAAATATCAACGCTCGACCGCTTCAGCTTGCCTTGAGAGGACTCCCTCAAGATGATTGCGACCGTTTCGTTCTGGCAGTTTGTGGTACGGTGCTTCTTTTTCTTCTTCTTTCTGCTGCCCGAGGAGTCTTTTGTGTCCTTGGTGCGCTTCGTGTCCTCGGTGTCGGAAGCGGGTTGACTTAGACCCTGACCCGTTTCTCTATGCTACTCTCTCTAAGATGCAGCAAAGGTTGCGGCACTTGTCAGCAATGCTAACCGAGCGGCCCTGCTTTCGTCCACCCCGACGCCGGTGGTCGAATTCTCTGCCGACCAGGCGGCGGAGATTTCTGACGAAGCAAAAAACCATCTCAATGCAGCAACCGTCTGTACTCCGAGTGGAATGCTAGTGTCGTGGTGCGAATCAAAACGAGACGTGGTCACAGAGGTAACTTCTGCGTTGGCAAACTGCAACTCTGTTCGCTAGACAGGCTATACATGCGTAGACAACTCCATGCCTGACATGGCCACATCGGAAGCGTCCGAAGCAACAGAGCCATCAGTGATGTTGGAGCCTGCGAGACCGACTCCGTCGCAGTCACTGGAATGGCGTCTGACCAGAGTCTGTGTCAACATGGGTCTGAGCGAAATCCAGAAATCAGGCGCCTCGCGTTAGAAGTGGGATCCCGAAGCTTTGCAAAGCAGGTGAAGCGTGGGTGCACAGACGCTGACATTCCCTTTTACCCCCCTCGTTCTCGGAGCCGAGGAGCCCTCCGAGTGGCTCTTGCTCACGGCCTGGCCGAGGGCCCGGCTTCAGGTCGTCTTTGGACTCTCCAAACCAAGTCTTGCGGTTTTCTTTTTTCAAAGCTTCAAAGGCCCCCAACCCAATCCCAAAATTCGTGTGGTGTGGGCTTAGGCTGAAGTTTTCTTGGTGAACGCTCCGGGCATCCGAACACGACTTTGAAACATCTGGCGGCAACAGGTTCGATATCTCGGCTTACACTTCCACTTCGTCAGTTCGAGAGAGGGATCATTGGTCGAAAGATGCGTCCAAGTGACAGACTGTGCTCGTGGCAGCGCTGAAAATGCCTCGCAATGACTAGGTGCATGTCCATCATACATTGCGGAAGTTGCCTCGGCAAACCTGATGCGGCCATCGGGCTGTAACAAGATGACTTATAGACTGACCACGGAAAGACCGAAAGGAAGGCCTCCAGGTCTGAAAGATGTATTGGCGTATCTTCCGTGGAGATGTTGGGCTGCATGGTGGGTGACGGGCCCAAGCTGATCTGAAGCTCGCGACGATGATCAGGTAGTCGACCTGATGGCTCTTTCCAATGCAGCCGCAATGCACCCATGCCACACAACATCATGCGAGCACAAGAACTGGACAGGCTGGGGGCTGGCATGTCACGTTCCTAGCTCTGACTCTGCGCCTACCCTGTTTTGATGAACAACCATTTTTTCTCAGTCGGGATTGGCATCTGCAAAGTTTTCACACCACAGGCGCATAAACTTTAACAACATGTGGGTCTAAAGACCGTGTGGAAGACAAGCGAAGACGTATGAAGACAAAGTTGGACAACACAAAGTATAAGTTCAAACAGCATTTGACAAACGAGGACACATAAAAACAAAACACGTGCAACATATGCCAAATCAAAACCTCTATCAAAACAAAAAGCAGATAAATAATGGTATTTACGACAATACATTTTAAAAATGAGACGAAGCCTCAAAAAATGTTGAGAAATTTGATTAAAAAATTCTAAAATCCGTTAACGTAAAATGTCAACAGAAAAAGATGTCACAAGGCTGTGGGATAACCGGCACATGTACTAAGAACACATAATTAGATACAACGCACCAACCACGATGAAAACATAAAAGATGATGAAGACCACCAACACGCACGCACACACACACACAGAGATACACGTAGACACCGACACAGACACACACACACACACACAGAGACACACACACACACACGCACGCGCGCGCGCTTACACATACTCTGGCACGGCACGGATGACTGCGACGAGCGACCGGCAGGACCAAACGACGACAGATTGCGGCAACCATACAATCACGGCTGGCCAACTGTAGCAACAGCTTCTTTGGGGTGTTTTGGGCTGGCCTTTGCGCAAGTACACCAAGTTAATCAGGCTTGGTTTCCCTCTCTGATGCACAAGTTCGTTGGGCACGGTAGCATCAGAGAGCCGTACCCCCCTGCTCTAAAAAGACAGTTCACTCGCAGCGGTCGCAATGTACAGGCGTGCGCACACACACACATGCCCTGAAAACACGGCTGCAACGAAACGACGGTCCTACCCGAGTCCTACCCTAAAGTCCTAAACAGACAGTAAGTATGAATCGGTCGCCATGCACAGGCATACACACACACATGCCCTGAACCAGGGCTGCAGCAGCAAGCCGGACCTTTTGACCGAAAAGGCCAGCAAAGCGAGGTGCTTCCAGGAAGCCATCGGGCGCTCTTAAAGCATGCAGGCTTTCGGGCGGTGCCCCGCAGCAAAGCTAATTTAGCCGTCTCCCCACTACATGGAGTGACTACGCTGGCGCTTCAGAGGGTCCACTCGGGCTGTTAACCCTCGGCTTTGACTGGTCTGTTTTCCCGAACTTTGGATCTTATGCATAGGCGCGTCACTCCGAACCATTGCTACCACCACACAATGCTGCCGTCGCGGTTTTGCGTTGAGCGCCATGTCCAGCGCCAGAAGGCGGGTTCAGGTAGGTGGGGGCGTGCGACTGCGTTCTCTGTCAGCCATCTCGTTACAGATGGCACAAGTGGCAAACGGCTGCGGGCGAAAACAATGCAAAAAACAGATTTCAGCACACTTCCGAACTGACAGCACACTTTGTCCTGTGCAATGCAAATCAGTCCAGGTTGATGGGTGCTTTAATGCGAAGCGATCTCATGAACTGAACAAGCCCAATGTCCATGTAGATCCTTGCGAGCCCAGATGACTTGTGCCAATCAAAATTCTTGTCGACGCGGCCACTAAGCTTTGCAACATCAGCGGTGTTGATGCTGATGTTTTCTTTGCCTGGGTCAACATGGGTTCTTTCCCACGCTTTGGCTATGCTGCCCAGCGTGGCAGTGACGGCAAGGTCACGACGGTGACATTGCTGCGCAACAGTCCACGAGGACCTGGCGGTGATCATCCGGAGGTGGAGATGGAAGCCCATCCTGTGACACCATTCTTTGAGGGCTTCTTCAGTAAGCAGCAAGTGTGTTCTGTATATATGCGTGGCCTTGTCCCAGTCGAAGGGCCGGAATCGACTTGCCCAAGTTGCCCAGTCGGTGACGCCTATATGAAGCTGAAGACTGGTGAGACAGCTGCACACCCTTTCCATGACATCTGGGGGCAAGGCTTGCATCGGTCTACTTTACTGAAAAGCAATGCGCTAGCACACTTAAGCCTGGAGCCAGCACACCAGGAGCATGAGCAAACTGGCGAAGAGAAGGCCGGCAGAAACACTGACAAAGGCACAAGTTGCTTGTTTTGTCAGCAACAGAAGTCCACACGTCCTATTACACGTGCACCGTGGGACTCCAAGCGTTGGAGTCTTTCGTGTAGGTCGCGAAGCTGCTGGGTGGTGATCTCAGTATAGTCGGCTAGCATGCTTCGAGATGAGCTGTCCATCGAGGGAATGCTGGAGTCGTCGGTGTTGCCTCCCTGCACGGCTTCTTGGCTGGACTCTGCTTCCTGCAAGATTTGCAGTAGTGCTTGGGAGAGGCGCTCGCGCCGCCCCGTGGCGTTCTCAAGCATTCACTTGCAAGAGCAGGCGCCTCGTTGCTGGAAGGGGAGGCCATGATGCTGTCACCTTGAACCCTACATGCACAGAGAATAAGTCAAAAAGATGACGCATGAAAGAGTGCATGACATGACATTTGCGCATGCACTTTGTTTTGCAGCTGCGTGCTGCATCAAGTCCTGCGCCAGAATTTCGATCAAAAAAACGAAGGTATTATTGATGGGTAGTCGCTGATCGGCTGCGAGCTCCCACAGATAACTCAGGTCCATGAGCATCTGTGCGTCGGGAAAGGAGCACTTCTTGAGTCTTTGCCAGGATACCACTGAGAAGTACATTCTCAGGTCCCGAGCTTGGCACACTCGGTTGTAGACATGCTGCATGGCACGTGCATGAGAATGATGGTGGGTATGTCTTCAGCCCAAAGGCGAACTTAACTTGTCGTGTGGCTCGATTTCTGCGTTTGCCTCTGATTGCGCGGAGGACTTGCTATCGTTCCTTGAGATCCACTGTGAAAACGGTGTCCATTTCCAAGCCATGTCGTTGGCGATAGAACTCCCTGTTCCAGGCCTGCTGAAATTGAGCAGTGGAGATGCTCGTGAAGAAACCACTGAGGTGCCTTCTAAGTAAGAAGTTCCGAACCCGTGCCAACAGGTCATACGCATCCCCTTTGCCAACAGGTCATACGCATCTCCTTTGGCAAAAGCCAGAAGGAAAGCAAAGGCACAAAATACGGTATAGTAGTCGGGCCACGGCTTCAAGCAATGGTCGCCTGAAAGCATCTAAAAGACGTAGACGATGGGTCTTCTTGACTGGAAGCCCTTCTTGCGTTTTGGGAGTGCGTAGGCTGTGGGAACTTTCGGTTGGCGCCGAATTGCCCAGGCATAGCGCTTGTGCAAAGCACGTTTGGCAACCGCTTGCCAAAGGCACCAGAGAGCATCGTGCGATGGTAGGCGAGGCGGGCTTCTTCAGCATCATCCTGCCACGGATTTCGCCGACGACGAGAATTCCTTGCAATCCCTTCAAAATCCTCAATTCCTTATCACACGCCTGCCGAGCTGCGTGTAAATCAAGTTTGCCAAGGGCCGATTGGCCATAAAAACAGAAAGGAGGAAACTCTCCTTCCTGGCCTGAGCCAGAGCCAGGCTCGGTAGGCCTGACGCGCATTTCGCGAAAGACTGCTGAAGTAGAGTCCGTGCCATGCACCCACGTGTAAGTGTAAGCGTGTACATGGCCCGGGGCATGTCCCGGTGTTGCTCCAAAGGTCGGGACAGTCTGCGCAGCAAAGGGAAAGAAATTGCAGCGCCATGTGCCGGCAACGGTGAAACAGGTGATGGCTTGAAGCTGAAGTGCCCCGTTGATATGCCCGAGGCAAGGCTGAGATATGCAAGTTCCTTTGCCATCGAGGTCTGTATGCTCGGCTCTGCTGCTGCAATGGTATCAGTGAGATCGTCACACGCATCCAGTCCACAACCAGGGGCTTAATTTGCTCATGTGGACGCAGCTATGCGGCGGCCTTGATCCTGTCTGGGGTGTTGGCTGCTTCGGTTGCCTCTGGCCTGCTGGCCGACCATGCTTGGCTATACGCATGGTAGCGTTCCCGGACAGAGTAAGGCTCTGCTCCCGGTCCAAAGATGCTGGCGGTGGCTAAGGAAGATGGAAAGTGGAGGGGTGCGGCCGGGTGGCAAAGGTTGCTGCAGGGCTCGGCCCGGAAGCTGCATTAGGGCAACGCTAGGGAGGGAGGAGCCGAGGTGGAAGATGCTGTGCAGGAGGCGCTCTCTCCCAGCCCTGGCCAAAGTTGCACGCCGAGGGCTCCGGATCGTCGGCTCTGGCTTCTGCGGTGATCCTAGTGTTTCTACGGGACCTAGAGCACCGAGCTGTGGTCTGGGACGGTCTCTGCTGCTCTGCTGGCTGCGCTCACTGCTGTGCCTGTGGCATCTATGGGAGCTGGCGGCTCAGCGCGTCTGCTCGCTACGGGGCCGATGGTGCCTATGGGAGCGCAAGCGGCACTGCAACTCCACCGTAAGGGTGCAGCTGAACAGATCCCTCTGCAACACCTCCCGCTTGTGTCCTTCACGCCTTCGATGCACGCCTTCGGACATTGGTGTAGGCAAGGCAAAACTCGGAGGGGGCATCGGCAGAACATGTACCGGAGGGTACGGGGCTCGCTCCAGCGGGCCGATGCATGTTCCCGTGCAGGGACCGTGCAGCATCCTAACGAGCCGCAGCGCAAACAGACTCGAGCAGTCCTTTGGTGTCGCATGGAGCGGTTCAAGCAAGCGACAAGGGCACAGAGCTTAGAAACATTACGGAGGAAACAGGGCAACCGAGAGCAACAAAGCATCAACCACACCAAGCAGGGGAGATCCAAGGTGCACCTGATCCGAACATGCACTCATGAACTTGCAAACGCTCAGCTCAGCAACCCTCACTGCCTGAATCCGGCATGCATTAATCCCTGTTCATAGCAACTGACCTTCCGTTCGTT